CTGTTTTCCCCTATGATACTCACTGCTCTGAGCCAGGATAAAGTGTCTCCCCTCACTGGAGTTGTTGCTTAGCTTGTCTGTGATGGTGACGTTGAATTCATCATCTGACATCAGTTTATACACATTCATGTGACACGTATACTGCATATGGGTGTGGTTGTAGGTAGATCGGTTGAAGCTACAAGAGTTAGCGAATTCCTCCAGTTCCCCATAGGGATCATTCCTTCAACAACAACAAAACAATTCCAATCATCTCCCAATCTACAAGCAGCTTGATGTGTTTTAGGATCATAAAGTCACAGCCCTCAGAGGAGTCATACAGCCCAACCTCTACCTGAAGCAGGAAATCCCACTAGAACATCTCTGATAAGTGGGCATGGAGCCTCTCCTGGACGGTCCTCAGAGTCTGGGAACTTATGACCTCCTTAGGCAGCCCATTTCTTTAATAGATGATGCCAGTTAGGGAAAAGGTCTTCCTTATACTGATCTGCTTCCCTGTAAAGTCCTCTTAGTTCTACAGGGAAGAACTAGGACCTAATTCCCCTAGTACATGATGGCCATTTAGATATTTGAAGACAGCTATTATTGCCATCCCGGACTCTCCTCTTGTCCAGGTTCTGTAACTGTGTCTCATATGGCATGGCTTCCAGCCCATCATGGGGAATGGAATGGTTTACTGAAAAGAATACCAGATCTGGAGGCAGAAGACTTGGGTTTGACTTTAGAAAAGTCTCTTCATCTCCCTGGGCCTTGGTTTCCTTCGGAAAAGTAGTATTGGAACAAGAAGATCTGTAAAGTTCTAAAATTTCATTATTCCACGTGGCATGGCCAGATATAGTAGTTTATTAAAAAAAAAAGTCTTAGGGCATTTTAAGCTCAATATGAGTCAAGGGTATAATGTAGCAGCCAGGAAAGCTGATGTAATCTTTGGTTGCATTAAAAGGGAGGGGTGGCATAATGTCCTCTGTCCTGGGCAATTCATATCTGGAGCATTCTGTTCAGTTCTGGGCACCACATTTTAAGAAAGATCTCAATAAGATGAAGATTGTCCAGAAGAAGGCAACCAGGCAGGGGAAGGACTTTGAGTTCATGCCATCAGTAAAAGTTACTGGGAGTGTTTAGAGAAGAAAAGCTGTGTTCATGTGTTTGAAGGACTTTCCAATGAAGAGATTTGATTTGTTTTGCTGGGCCCATAGATGGAGGGAAGAAGGTGGGGTGGGACTATGAGTAATGGTGGATGCTGTAGAAAGACAGATTTGGGCTTGATGGAAAAGTAACTTCTTAGCCTTTAGAGCTGTCTAAAGGTGGAAGGGGCTGCCTCCCTCCTCATGCTTCTTTACCTCACATCATAATTGGTGGTTGAGTGTATTTAATTCATTTCGGCTATCTGCTGAGTACCAATCAATCAATTATCATTTATTAAGTCCCTACCATATGCCAAGCACTGGGGATACAAAGACAAAAATGAAACATTCCCTGCTTATTCCCTTGACTTGGATGTCACACCAGCATCTCACCTTATCCTTAACTTGATCCACGGTCTTACAGAACTGGAAAAGAATTTCAAATCATTTCAGCCCCCCCCTCCCCTTTCTACCCTCCCCTCATCTCCTCCTATTTCTTCTTCTTCTTCTTCTTCTTCTTCTTCTTCTTCTTCTTCTTCTTCTTCTT